ATTCCAACCATTATAAACGAATAAATAATAGAAGAAATACAATACGATACAAATACAAATACATACAATGATGATCTACATATAACGGATACAGGATATATATATATATGAAGGGTAATTGCATTTTCCCAAGTGTCGTTTGTTCTTCCAATGTGCAGTCTCATTTAGGAGGCAACCGAGAGATCACGGCAACCGAGAGTGTCGTTTGTTCTTCCACTATCATTTGTTTCATTTCTCACCTATTTTACTTCAATGGCACCTTTTTGGCTGTGTTCTATTTTTTTCCATGAGTTCAGTTTTGTCAACATCTGAACTTGGCTTCACACTCTTTTCATGACATTCTAAAATACTAAACTACTTTATAGATCATATACAAAGTCAATAAACATTTGAATTTTAACCAAATCAAGAATATCATACAAAACATAAAGAATATCAAATTGAAATATCATGGCTTAATCATATATAAACATTAAGTAGTTTAAATATCTAAAAAAACAGATTAATAGTCAAGTACTTTCAATAAAGGACTACAGCTTAATAGTCAAGTACTTTTAAGAACTAAAAAATAGGTTCTTCTCAATGAATAATTGTAATAAATATTTCAATAACGGACTACAGCTTAAATTAAAGTCCAAGTATATTGAGAAAAACATAGTAAACAATCAAAATAGTCATGTACTTTTAAATAAAATCTATATTCAAGTACTTTTAATAGTCATAAAAAACAGCTTAATAGTCAAGTACTTTTAATAAAGGACTACATACTTTTAATAGCTAAAAAATAGATTCTTCTCAATCAAAATCAGCAAAGTATGTAATTAATACAAATATACTTTCTTATGCCTATTCTCTCTCTATATTAAAGCCATAATGTTTCTTCCAAATAAGGACTACAACAAAATTCCAAATCAAACATTCATTTATCAAAACATTTCTCCCAATCAAAACAGTCATGGAAAGAAATACTTAAGTCTAAACAAAGTCTTAGAACATACAATTTCAAACAAAAACTATGATTTTGATTTTGTATATTGAGACAAACATAGTAAACAATCAAAATAGGATTGTACTTTATAAATAAATCTATAGTCAAGTACTTTTAATAGTTATAAAAAACAGCTTAATAGTTAAGTACTTTCAATAAAGGACTACAGCTTAATAGTCAAGTACTTTTAAAAGCTAAAAGAAATAGCTTCTTCTTAAGCAGATAACAATTTGCAGTAGTTGATCTATATGTATACCTCAATTTAGCTGATAATGAAACTGCGAAATACATAGTAAATGTTGCAAATCTAATTTATTTGCTATGTGTCAGATAGTGTACACATTACATAGCTTACATAAATATACATTTCCAATGGAATTTTGAGCCAAAGTTGTGAAATCTTGAAGACTCGGTGCGCCAGGTAAGTAAGTATAACATGACGCCTTCATTTGTTGTATTTGCCAGTAGTGGAATGCAATAGATCACCTTAAATTAAACTTCAAATATAGTAATATGGTATATAATAACTCTGAAATTTAATGACATCAGAAATTACTATCTTCATGTGCCATTTCCTTGAAAACAAATGTTAGAATCTGAATAAATTAAGACAAACAAAATTGTGAACTATTTTCAAAAACAGAAAATAATAAACATATTAAACTGGGATTCAAAAATAGTACTGGATCTAAAATTTTGAAACAAAATACACATATACTAATTAGGTGACTGTTGATATCAAAATTAAATTTAATCAGTTATGTTGTAAAGCTAGAAAACATAATATTAGTTTTGACACCAACATATGCCAGGATAAAGAATGGGAATAAATACTACCTTTTCAAGGTGTGTCTTTTCTGCTTCCCAAAAGAAGTAATCATTAATAAATTCCAGCAAAATTCTAGGGAATTTCATTAGACTTTTATGTTTTAAACTCAGTTACAATCAGATAATCACATTTAAATGTAGAGTACACAATTCATTCTCAACTAAACACACTACTTACAAAGAAACACTTTCCAAACATTGAGCAGATCAAGCAAATGAGGAAGTTAACTAAATCAACTGTCATCGGGTCCAAAAGGAAGGACACAATTTCAAACAAAGGTACATTGAACATTTATCTTAACATCTATTATTCTCATAGCTTCTGCGTCTTTCTTATTTTCTGTCTATAAACCTTCTCCTATGAAATTTGATTTTTTTCTTTCTTGCAATTATCAACTGTATAAACATTTTTTACAAATCTGTTTGTGTTTAAAAAGCATAAATTTTCATAGGAGCGCAAGGATAACACTATAGTATGCCTATATTCAAAAAACAATTTTCTGGGTAATTATAGGAAAGTTAAACGTTAGAAAATGCAAATCAATATAAATCAAGTGCAACATACAACACTCGGTTGCTAAATTAGTCAGGTTCAAACCCTAATTATACAAATATACATTTTAGCAAAGATAGTAAAGATTAAGTAAGAATGAGTACCAAAATTACTTACCTTCGTCAGATTGTTGACATCCATTAGAAGTAACCACCTTGAGTGTTCACGCGGTGGTGAAATAGCACTACTTCGTATGGTTTTGGGCTCTATAATACCGATCTGCGTTCATCTAGATTGTATCCGTACAAACAAACAACCATCTTAGTAGATCTTCCTTCAAATAAAAGAGGATTTAAAACCCCAAACACAAATTTAGGGTTTCCCTAAAATCGGCCTCTTCTATCTATCTCTCGAAGCAAATCGTAGTATAGTCTGCGATTGGATCAAGAATGTCTTTCGTGTATAATGGGCGATACAAAATTCAGACGCCATTAACGCCTAAGACGTCTGGATTACAGAGATAGATGGAGAGCGATAGAGAGAGATAGACGGAGTGAGACATCGTAGGGAGAAGAGGGAAGTAGACAGCGTGAATTAGGATCGGGTTGTGTCCAGAAGTCTCACTTCTGGACACTTCTTTATATTTTTTTTGGTTAAATAAATAAATAAATAAACATATATATATATATATATATATATATATATATATATATAATACGCAGTAGATAACATGTATATATATGTGTATAATATATAGTATGCCTATCTATTATTAGTAGCTATATACTTAAGTGGAATAAATTATTTTAACATGGTTATTTTATTCATTTTTGTTAAATTAGTATTATATATGGTGTTTATTATGATTCATATATTGTATTTAAATTTTGGAACAACATATATGTTTTATTTTTTGTTCAGTCGAATTGTTTATTTTATGTAATCGTTGTATTATTTAAATCTAAATCATAAATTATATTCATGCTTATTTATCTTATTGGTTATAAAATCTTTATTTTTTTTATGACAGAAAATGATTGTACGGAAAGTGGAACATTCAACACACCGAAACGAACTACGATTGCGGGTAATTCCTTTATTTCTAATTGCAATATAGGTATTATTTTATAGTAAATTTAATTGTGATATTCATATTATATTATAGGGATATTAATGTTAGATTTTTGTACTTTTTTTGCTTAGAGTGCTCAATCGCAGTCGAAGTGTCAAATGATAGATCTCAGCTTACATGTGTTACTGAAACATCTCAAAATAAGAGGCGTTTTACTGGGACACAGTGTGGGGGTCTTTCTACACAACCTTTCAACGTATACAATGGTATGAGATGTTATGGTTACTAATGGTTAATCAGCTATAATTATACATACGCTTATTTATATAGGAACCTTTGCTGTGGTGTTTATTGTATTTTAATTTAGGAATGTTACATATATAGCATTTGTTTTTTTGGGGTAAATTTGTTTATTTAATGTGATAATCTATATGGTGCAATATAGATTTATTGTCTTTTATTAGTACATACAACACCATTGTATTCTTTCGTAAGATTTATTAGTAATTCTTTATTTTATTATCTAATTGTACAGAAAATGCAACATTCAACACACCAAAAGTAACTGTGATGGATGGTTAGTCCTTTTATTTTAATCAATATTGTCGGTACTATGGTATAATAAATTTTATTTTATTTATTCATATTATAGAGATTAATGTTAGATTTTTTGAAATTCTTTGTTTAGAGTGTTCAATTGCACTACAATTGGCAAGTGATAGAGAGAAGATTACACATGTTAATAATAGCCATTTTTTGGGTGGACAAAGTGGAGGTATTGATAGTCAAATTTCTATTATAAATTATATATCTATATATAATTACTATATTATTTTTTGATTTTTTTTTTGGTGTATTAAAATTAATTTTGTTTCCTAATAGTTTTACAAAATATTACTCAATCAATGACATTGCAATCTAACGTGCTCGAAACTACCCCTATGGTGTCCAACGAAAGGCGAGGGCCTTTGACAAATCTAACAAATAGTAAAGTTGCGCAATTAAGTAAATCGTTTTTAAAAATATGAATGTATAATGTTTAGTTTATGAATAATAACGTTTTTTATCATCTTATAGTTCAAACAACAAGATCGTGCGTGGTGGATGACAATAGCTCAACACCAAAGGCGTCAATGCAATTTAATTTGTTGTCCGCTTTTGATAGTGTGGTCCATGATACACCGTCAAACTCGGCAAATGTTAATGGTGAGTATAGGTACGAGTAATAACCTTTATTATTTTTGTTTAGGTAAGAGTAATAACATTTGTTTTCTTCTAGATTATTACAGTGATATTGGTGATCAAACGTACTCATGCAATCATTGTGGAGCTATGTTTTGGTTAGAGGAGCGAGTAAATAAATCTAGCGGTGTTCGGAATCCGAAATATTCACTATGTTGCGGTCATGGAAAGATAAAGTTGCCGCATCTTAATATTTCACCTATGGCAATCAGGCAGTTGTTCTTTAACCAAGATCAAAAGAGTAACCATTTCCTAAAGAACATTCGGTGCTTTAACAATATGTTTTGCTTTACTTCCATGGGTGGAAAAATTACAGAACGGTCAACAATGGTAGTGCACCACCGACTTTTCGGTTACATGGTCAAAATTTTCACTTGATGGGTAGTTTGCTCCCACAATCTGGCGAGAGACCAAAGTTTGCTCAATTGTATATTTATGACACTCAAAACGAGATCACAAATCGTATAACTGCACTTGGGTAAGTTATGTATGTTTATTTATTTTAAATAGATTAACATCATTTTTGTAACAATATAGATTATAAAATTGTATGGGTTTTTATATTCCAAACAGGGAAGATGAGTCAAACATTACAATCCATCGTGAAATTGTTAAAGACATTAAAGATGCACTGGATAAAAATAATGTTTTGGTTCAAAGTTTTAGAATGGCCAAAACAGAGATGGAAAGTAACCATAGAGCTGATATTAAAATCAAACTCATTGGTAAGAGGACCAAGGATGCAAGGACATATAACTTGCCACAGGTTGGGGAGGTGGCTGCATTGATTGTTGGTGATTTAGACCCAAACATGGGAGAAAGAGATATATTGGTGGAGTCCAAAGCTGGACATTTTCAAAGAATAACTGAATTAAATCCAGCATATCTCCCACTGCAGTACCCACTACTCTTTCCTTATGGTGAAGACGGATACAGAGACGACATACAATTTACTACTCTTGAAGGCAGGAGTTCAAATGCAAGGAGTAAACTTAGTCCCAGGGAGTATTTCTCATTCCGTTTGCAAGATAGGTTCAATGAAATGTCAACTTTGCTTTATGCTAGGCGGTTGTTCCAACAATATTTGGTTGATGCTTATACCATGATAGAATCAGGACGCTTGGTTTATATTAGGTCTCATCAAAAGTCACTTCGATGTGAATCTTACAAATGTTTGACAGATGCGTTAACACGTGGCGAAGTAGATCCTACTGCCCAAGGAAAACGCATAATTTTGACATCGAGTTTTACCGGAGGCGCAAGATATATGGTGCAGAATTACCAAGATGCAATGGCTATTTGTAGATGGATCGGGTATCCAAGTCTATTTATTACATTCACATGTAATCCTAAGTGGCCCGAGATTGAAAGATTTTTACAACCAAGGAAACTCAAAGCTGAAGATAGGCCAGATATAGTATGTCGTGTGTTTAAAATGAAATTAAATGCACTAATTAAAGAAATTCAGAAAGAGAAAATTTTTGGAGTGGTAGATGCAGGTAATTTATGTCATTTCATCAATATATTTGATTATTTTTGGTTGTAACATATCTTTTAAATTTTTCAACGATTTTAAAGATCCAAGTGCATATTGTTTGTTTCTTGCAGTAATTTACACCATTGAATTTCAAAAAAGGGGACTGCCACATGCTCACATTTTGATATTCTTGAGCAAGAGTAACCCTTACCCTAATTCTAAAGATATTGACCGGATCATATCTGTCGAGATTCCAAGTCAACTGTGCGAACCTGAGTATTATCAAGCTGTAGCAGAATTTATGATTCACGGTCCATGTGGTGCAGTTAGGAAGAATTCACCTTGCATGATAAAAGGTATGTGTTCTAAATTCTTCCCCAAAAAATTTGTGGAAAACTCAACAGTGGATTTTGATAGATATCCAATATATCAGCGTAGAGATAATGGTCGTACAGTTCGGAGGAATGGGATTGACCTTGATAGTAGATATGTTGTTCCACACAATAGACATTTGCTTATGAAGTACAGGGCTCATATTAATGTGGAGCGGTGCAACCAATCTAGGTCAATAAAGTACTTATTCAAGTACGTCAACAAGGGTAATGATAGGGTCACGGCTGAATTCTACAACAGTGGGGTGGAAGAATCTACTGGAAAGATTATAGATGAAATCAAGATATACTATGACTGTAGATATATTTCACCCCCTGAGGCCGCGTGGAGGATTTTTGCGTTTGACATACAATTCAGGAATCCATCGGTTGAGCGGTTGAGTTTTCATCTCCCCAATATTCCATGACGACGATTTGGTCAATGATGTTGTAAATAGACCGACAGTAGCTCAAAGCATGTTTACTGCCTGGTTTGAGGCTAATAAAAAGTACGCTGCAGGGAGGCAGTTGACTTACTCACAGATGCCAACCAAATTTGTTTGGAAAAATGATAAAAGAGAATGGCAACCTAGGCAGAGAAATTGGGCAATTGGTCGAATCTTTTATGTGCCACCAAATACTGGTGAGATTTTTTATCTTAGATGTTTAGTTAATATAGTTCGTGGACCGACTTCATTTGATGAGATTAAACAAGTAGATGGTGTTCAATACAATTCATTTAGAGATGCATGTTATGCACGCGGATTAATTGAAGATGATAAAGAGTATGTTGATGCAATCACTGAGGCAGCATCTTGGTCTTTACCCCATTCGCTACGTAAGTTGTTTGTTACACTTCTAACATCCAATTCAATGTCCAAGCCAGAAAATGTTTGGGAGATGGTTTGGCAATACTTATCAGATGATGCTCAATATATTTGTAGAAGGAACCTCTCAGTCTCAGGTAACATTTATTGTTATATTATTAATTATTCATATCCATTCTTTAAAGCATTACATCTTACGTTTCTTTCTTCTTATATTGTAGATTTAAGTCTAAATGAATCTCAAAAAAAAAAAAAATTTCTTTGATTGAAATCGAGAAGTTGTTGAATGCTTGGAACAAATCTCTATCAGATTATCCACCTATGCCAATGCCAGATGAAAACAACGATTTGTTTTCCGGTAACAGGTTGTTGTTCGAGGAGATGTCATATGATAGGGAAGCTCTATTGCATCAACATAATTCGTTGCATCCGAAACTAACCGATGAACAGTTAGTCATATACAATAAGGTGATGGCAGATGTTGAAACAGAGAAAGGTGGAATGTATTTCGTTTATGGTTATGGTGGGACAGGAAAAACATTTTTGTGGAAGGCTATTTCAGCAGTTGTACGGTCCAAGGGCGAGATAGTTCTAAATGTAGCATCAAGCGGTATAGCTTCGTTGCTGCTGCCTGGTGGTAGGACTGCACATTCCAAGTTTGCTATACCAATTGCTGTTAATGAGGACTCCACTTGCAGCATCAAGCAAGGCAGTGCGCTTGCTGAATTGATAATCAAATGCAAACTAATAATTTGGGATGAAGCTCCGATGATGCACAAACATTGTTTTGAAGCATTGGACCGAACAATGAGAGATTTAATGCGTTTCAAGAACTCAAGGAGCTCATCAATGACATTTGGCGGGAAAACAGTGGTGTTGGGTGGAGACTTTAGACAAATTTTACCCGTTATCCCAAAAGGTACTAGACAAGATATTGTTCAAGCCAGTATTAATTCATCTTACCTGTGGAATAATTGTCAAGTTCTGCGTCTAACCAAGAATTTAAGATTGCAAGGTCTTACTAATGAAGATGATGTTCAAAAGTTAGATAGTTTTGCCAAATGGATTGCAGATTTAGGTGATGGTAATCTTGGTGAAGACAATGGTGTTGATTGCAATATAATGATACTGTATTCAATTGTATTAGAAAACGAGGTTGATCCTATTAGGCAAATTGTTGAAAGCACATTTCCGGAGTACCGTACTGGGAACATGGATGAAAGTCAACTGGAGAATAGAGCTATATTAGCTCCAACCTTAGATGTAGTTGATGAGGTCAATGAATACATGAATGGTATTAATCAAGCTGCTTCAATGACATACTTGAGTTGTGATTCTGTTTGCAAGGCAGAGTCAAACTTTGATATGCAATCTCAAGTACACACAACAGAATTTTTAAATAGCTTGAGGTGTTCGGGTGTACCAAATCACTCTCTAACGTTGAAAGTTGGAACTCCAGTTATGCTGTTGAGAAATATAGATCACTCTATGGGGTTGTGCAATGGTACAAGGTTAATAGTAACACAGTTCGGAAATCATGTTATCGAGGGAAAAATTATAGCTGGGAATAACGCAGGTACAAAGGTTTTGATACCGAGACTATCTTTGACTCCTTCAGACCCAAGACTTCCATTCAAGTTTCAACGAAAGCAATTCCCACTGATGTTATCATATGCAATGACGATCAACAAAAGTCAAGGTCAAACGCTTTCACATGTTGGTTTGTTATTGAAAAATCAGTTTTTAACCATGGACAATTGTGTGTTGCAGTTTCTCGGGTCAGTAATCCAGATGGTCTTAAGGTCTTAATATGTGGCGAGTCTAGAGGTCTTTTAAATAAGACTCAAAATGTAGTTTATAAAGAAATCTTTAATAATTTGTAATTGTTGTTTCATTATTTTACAATGAAATATTTTATTTTGTGTATTTGTGACGTCTATAACTTTATTGACCATATAATGAATAAAACAATTTTTTATACATATCAGCATAATAATATGGCCGTGCATCGCACGGGCGCAACTACTAGTTCATCTTTAATAATTAAAGGTGAATGGTTTGATCATTGGCTTTGGGAATGGAGTAGACAAAAAAAAAAAATGTGTGTCATTCCATCTTATTGGTAATGTGATTTTTAAGTTTGGATTAGGACTTTTAAATTTTAATTTTAATTTTTTTGTTCATATTAGTATTTTGGATATCATTATATTAGGATAAATTGAAACTTAAAGAAGAAGAACTAGAAACAAAGAAGATGCATTCGTTGGTCCAAAAGTTATATTTTTACTTAAAAATGAAAGAATAGTTTTGTCTTTTATTTACACAGTGCAAACCGAGCAAATTAATGCTTGGACCATATTTAGTAATATTTTAAAGAGTTGATTATCAATTTGGACCTTCGACTATGAGGATTTCACCAATTTAGTCTTCGACTATCAAAATTATTCAATTTAGTCCCCGACTATACTCTTTTTACACGAAATGGTCCTCAGTCTAATTTTCTAGTAAAACTAAAGGGTAAATTCGGAATTTGAAAAAATCACTCTTCTTCCTTAACTCAGGCGAAGGCTTTTGTATTCCATCTTCAGTTCAACCCAATCATTTTCTTCACTGAGAGCAAAAATGAGCTTCAGACCTAGTGAGAGCACTAATGGCCGCATCCCTCACCTGCCACTTTAGAAGAAATTATCTACTCTTATTTGATCTGAATCACAATTCTCCGGCAACAATCTCCAAGATTTCTCCGGTAGTCTTCGCATGGCGTTGTCTGTTGTAAGCTATAGACATGTTCTTCTTCAATTCGTTAATTAGCGTTGTCGTGGCATTGCTCATTGCACTCATCATGTGGCTTCTGGCTAGCGATTTCTGCAAAGCTCTCATAATTTGACTGTTCAAGTAGAGAGGCAACAGGGCGTCTAGAATCTGAACCGGGTCCTGCTCGAACTCCAAGATTGATGAGAATTCTGGGGTTTCAATCCTTCTTACGTCTCTCTCCACCATTAGTTTCCCTTCTTTGGTAGTCAGCATGAAGAACTCATCATCTGCTGCGTCGACACAATTGTCGTTTATGTCGCAGATCTCTCCCTAGGGGGACTAAGGTGTGAATCACGGGCTCGGATTTGACCAAAGACACGAACTTTGTGTACAAAAGCACAACCTTGTCGACCTCTTCGCTCACGAAAAGCGAGAAGACATCATCGGCGATTGCCTGGGCCTGCGTGTCTTTTGCGGTTGGAAGAGAGCTGCCGTCGAGGAAATACGTATCCCCCTTCTTCCCCACGCTAATCACGGTGTAATCCACACTGAGGCCCTTCAATTCCTTAATCCTGGCCTCGGCTTTCTTGAGGATATTACTGTTAAACGCGCCGCAGAGGCAACGGTCGCCGGTAACGACCACCAGAGCGACTTTCTTGACGAGGCGGACCTTCGTGAGCGGCACCTCTGCGTCGTCTTCTGGAGAAGCTCGTTGATGTTGTAAAGCACCTCAACCAGGGTCTCCGAGAAGGGCCTCCTGTTGACCACGTATAAAAGCAACGAATTAGGGAAGAAGAAGAAGAAGATTTTTCAAATTCCGAATTTACCCTTTTAATTTGACCGAAAAATTAGACTGAGGACTATTTCGTGTAAAAAGAGCATAGTTGGGGACTAAATTGAGGAATTTTGATAATCGAAGACCAAATTGGTAAAATCCTCATAGTCGAGGGACCAAATCGTTAATTAACTCTATTTTAAAACTCGAAGGACTATAATTAATAACATTTTGAAACTCGAAGAACAAAAAATGGTGAATTTTAAAGTGTAGGATCATAGTGAGTAGAATCAACATACTCGGAGGAGGACGACCACATATTACATAATAAATACTTAAATATATAATGTAAAATCTCTCAAACGAAAATGAAATCCCTAGACTCTAGTTCAACACTCTTCAGCTCTGCGACTCAGCCGTCTCTCCACTCTTCTCCACCGCGATTCTCCACTCTCCACTCAGCTCCACAGGCGGCCAGCCTTAGTCTTCTCCCAGAGTCGATCTGCTAACCCGCAAAGGCCCAGACCAAACATAAGGTGAAGGTTTCTGTCACTTTTCCCCAATCTCTATTTTCTTCCCAACTCTTAGGGGGGGTGTATTCAATCATGACTTTTGTAGATTTTTAATGACTTTTAAAATGATAGATTTTAATAAACTTTGATTGACTTTCATAGAGTTGTTCAAAACTTTTTAAAACTTTATAAGACTCTATAAAAGTCTATATAAAAAACATTCATAAACTTTTATCAACTTTTTATTTTAAAAAGTCTACAAAAGTCATTGAAATTCTAAATTGAATACATCCTTACAAACTTTTAATGATTTTGATTCTTATCATTTACAATTTTCTTACAAAACATTTATAATATATACTCCGTTGTAATAAAATTCTTCTTATTATATAGTTCTTCACCCACATCATCATTCTTAACATTATTATTTTCATCCATAGTATATTGAGGCTTATATGCTAATTACTTATATATATTATTAATAAACATCAACAAAAAAAATATTTCATTAAAAATTCATAACAATATTGAACAATAAAAGTTATAATAAAAGACTTGATAAAATAAAATATTTAAAAATATAATTACAAGTTGCATAAAATAAAAAAAATAAAAATCTAATATTAATAATATATATATATATATATATATATATATATATATATATATATATATATACTTGATATATTCAAATTGTTGTTGCAAACAATAATTCGCTATTCGTAATAATCTGCTGTTAAAAAGAAGGAAAAATGTATATTACGAATATAAACATAAAAAGAATAAAAATCAAAATATATAAGTATTTATATGAATATTATGAAATATTTACTAAAATTTGACGATGAAAAATTTGCTTTGTTCATGTATTTAGAGAAAGTTAGGGATAAAAAAATTCATAGAAAAAAAATAAAAATCAATATAAACAAGTAATAATGCAGTAAAAATAATATTATTTTGAATTTTTAGATGAAAATTCTAAAGTTTAGGAGAGAGAGAAAATTGGTAGAGTTTAGGTATGAGGAAAATATAGAATAATGAAGAAGAAAATAATTTTATTGAATTTAGATAGGTTTATAGAGTTTAAATAGGGGAAAAAACAGAGTTTAAATAGAGAGAGAAAACATTCAAAGTTGTTTGAAAGAAAATTTGAAATCTTGAGGTTGATGGTTGGATTTCAACTATTTATATTTGAGAAGAAAAGTCTACAAAAGTCTTAAAATTAAAAAGTCTACAAAAGTTCATTACTTTTTGAATACCACATGACTTTTAAAGACTCTTTAAAAGTCTTAATCGAATACCACACGACTTTTAAAAACTCTTTAAAAATCTTGATTGAATACCACCTAACTTTTAAAGACTCTCTAAAAGTTTGAATTGAATACCTCCAAACTTTTAAAGTTCATAAAAGTCTTTAAAACTCTATAAAAGTCGTGATTGAATACACCCCCCTTAGCTTCCTAATTTCCTTTATATTTACGAAATATGGAATCTTGCAGTTGAACAATAGAACGATTTTTGCTTTCGATTTCGACCGATGCCTCATTGTTCTTTCAATTTAATGGCTCGGCAACTCAAAACCGTATCGGATGCAAGTAGGGATTTAATAAGTGAGCTGCCGGTAGAGGTAAAGGACAGAATTTTGGAGTGTTTGCCCACCCGAGATGTCGCCAGAACTGCCCTGCTCTCAAGGCACTGGAATGACGTTTGGTTGCAGCATGGGCGGCTTGCGTTCGATGAGAAATTCTTGCAAAGTGTCAAACAGTGCTATGATGATGAAGGTATAACTCTCGTGAACATAATCAATAATATCCTCTTTCTCCGTGCTGGGCCGGTTAAGAAATTTACTATAAAGATAAGGGAAAAGATGGATCCTGAGCCAGAGCAGTCTGAATTTGAGAGGTGGTGTCTTTTTCTGTCAAGAAATGGCGTGGAGGAACTTAACATATCTTTAGGGAGTTATCTGAAGAAATATAAGGTGCCATTTTGTTTACTCTCTTGCAGGACAATTAAGCAACTGATAGTCCGAGGTCCCTCTATTCATTTGCCTGTAAATGCTTGTGGTATATTTTCCAATGTCACTTCATTAGCTTTCTTCAAAGTTAGATTTAAGTGTAGTGTTAGTCGAATTGCGTCTAGTATTAGTTTGCCTAAACTTGAGAAGCTGGCTTTCGGACGTTGTCTGGAGATCAATAAGTTTAAGATCGACCCGCCAAAGCTTGAAATGTTGTCTGTTATTGGTTCTATGTATGATTTTGTTGATTCGAGATGGTTGGCACCGCATTTGAAAGCCGTTAAGACTCTTTGGTTGTGTGGCTCTTCGTTGTCATGGGTGAGAATCTAACTCATTTTACTTGATGCAAATGCATGGATAGATATAATTCTTTACCTTGCTTGTTAAAGTTCTTGTGGTGGATAATAATTCTGTTTTTTATTTCTATTTTGCAAGTGTATGGATGTATCTGTGTTTCCAACTGCAATAAATTTGCAAGTGATGAAGCTATATCAATTAAAATTTGGTTGTCAGAAGCACCTCGTCGTTGCTATGCAATTGCTTCAAAAATGTCCCAACCTATGTGAACTGCGGATTATTGCGGATGAGGTAGAGTATATATTTGGCAATCATGTATGATTCTTCTTGTCTTGCTTTTTCAAATGTCTCACAGTTGTGCTTGTTTTTCATTTCTTCTTGAGTTATAGTTCCATGGGAAGGATGACAAAGAAGCTGCTTCAAGGCTTTTGGAGGATCCGGACAGTGGCTTTGTTATTCAGGAGCTAAAGATGCTTAACACAATCAAGATTGAATCATTCAGTGAATTCCCACTCGAAATGCTTTTTATGAAAATGTTGCTCTCAAAATCCCCTACGCTAGAGAGTTGTTATTGTGAAGTCTCGCGGTATGACTGCCTCTGAGGTGATAAAAATCCAAAGGAAGTTGGAATGCTTTCCTCGTGCATCTCCAAACGCACAAATTGTCTGCGCGGGCAATTACTATGCGTCTATGCATGATGACTGGTTTGATGCCCATGTTTTACCCTTTTAGAAACTTTGTATGGTTAATCTCCCTAGGTTCTATTTGGGTGCAGCTGCAAAGGTTGTGTTGGAAGTTGAAATGTTTTCTAAGTTGTTCGGCATAAGGTATTTGTAATCAGCAAGTGTTGTGGGCAATTAAGAATGTTTCTATATTTGCTTTTGTTAATAAATTACTTAAATTATGTTGTTTTTGTTTTTGTTTTGTTTTTGTTTTGTTTTTTTTTTTGTTTTTTTGTTTTGTTTTTGTTTTGTTTTGTTTTTTTTTGTTTTTTTTTGTTTTTTTTTGTTTTTTTTTTTTTTTTTTGCGTAAATTAGTTCATCTAAGAATGTTGATAGTCAGAAAAATTTCTGCCATAGATAGGCCAATTACTAGTCATTAAAGCATTTTCATATAAATGAGAGATTGTCAAGCATAATATCATCAATAGAAAATACACTTGTAGGATTAACATTTGAAAATATGTCACGATTAATAGATCAACATATAATAAAGATACAATCTCTCTAGTGTAAGGCGAAAGCATGTAATAAAAATAAATGTGCATTTTATAAACTTCTTTTTTTTGTGTGACAAAACGTTACAAGTTATCAGTGTCATACAATGGACTACTATCCTCCATACCCGGACGTGCCTTGTCATCATCAAGAAACTCAAATTTCCAAATAGATCGATTGTGCTACATGAAAATTTTGTTGATTACATAAAACCCAAGAAATGGTCACATGTACTTGAGTCGTTAAGACTGGACCAAATATTTCTTCATCCAATGGACAATACAACATTTCTAGCATCTTTCTTGACAAAAATTCCAAAATATTATCAAGAATCCCTACCAGAAGTTCACTAATTCTATCTCTCTTTAACATAATCCATATAACCCTAACATATGCAAATTAAAGAGCAAATAAATTAAAACTACATAATCCTTAAATGGGTGGATCGGATAATCGTAGTTAAGTAAAATAGAAATAAAAGCAACTATCATGTAGTATGATGTCATCCATGTTACCATTCTAAATGGGTGATCATATGTTCAAATCTTGATGATAGGATCTTAGATTCTTAATACTATCTTGTAACTCAAAGTCTGAATTGAAATTATATTGCTTGAATACTAAATTTCTAAAATATGAATTCAAAACCAACAAATGAATAGCAAGTTAGCATTCAAATTGTGTAAACCCTATCGTTCAATCCCAGCCAATATGTAAAACTCTAAACTTTTTGCAATATAAAATGACAATATTTATGTTATTTTAGTACTATTAACTCTATTATCAAAATCTACTGCGCCAGAGAGATTTATTCTGAAGTTTTTGGGTGTGAATGCTCCCGAGGTGAGGAAAATCTAAAGGAAGTTGGAATGCTTTCCGCGTGCATCTTCAAACCCACATATTGTCTTCACGGACAATTGACAATGATTCTAGGGGTATGGAGTACTGGTAACATTGGTTTAGTCTTTCACAAACTTGGTGAATCTCCATGGGTTCAATCTTTAGAAATGTAAGCAATGATAGTGTTGGAAGATGAAATGTTTTCTATGTTGTTCAACATGATCGAGGTATTTGTATTCAGCAAGCATTGTGGGCAATTAAGAATGTTCCTCTATTTGCTTTTGTTAATAAATTACTTCAATTATGATTATTATTAGAGTAAAAAACATTTTTGGTCTTGAACTTATAGTGGCATGGACAATTTTAGTCCTCATTAAAAAAATCAGACAATTTGTGGACACTCTTATTGTGACGAGGACAATTTTGGTCCTTCGTCAATCTTCCTGTTAGATGCCTCGTTTGAGATGGGGTAATTTCGTCTTTTTCAACATACCTCCTTCTCCTTCACTTTATTACCTTAGTGAGCTTCTGTTCTTCATTGCAGATTGACGAGGCAGATTAACAAGGCACTTTACTCTCTCTTGAAATCCAAACACAAACAATTCCCACAAAAATTGAAGCCGAGAAAAGGCAGTAAACCAGCCTCCCCTTTGCTATCATGCTTTCAAATAAAGGCTCATACTTGCCATTCAACACTAAATCAGCTTCTATTTCTCTTATTGTGAATAAATTAAGCAGAGAATCCTTAACTTCAGAAAAGTCTTTACTATAGAGACTAGCTGAATGGCCCGCACATTTGCGTACGTAGAATTACAGTTTTGGTAGTTGGTGAGCAAAACACTGTATGTATGTGGCTGATGCTGTTGCTAAGCTAAGCTTGTGCTTTTGGATGTGTCAGAATTGATGGAATTTGAAGAGCCTCCTTCTGATTGTATAACCTATGTCTACAATGACCACTCACCGCTACCCTGACTCGTTCCAGAGATAATGGGCCCCTCTAGCTTCTCATCCTCGAGCTCCATCTCCATAGGCTTCAGATCCACCTTCGTTATCCAGTTAACCACCAAATCTAGCCGAGTCTGAAGTGACTGTACTTTGGCCGAATATAATCATACTCGAGTTGAGCCAAAGTTAGCGACTTGTAATCTCTCTCCGAGATTCCCCGAACAGCCAATTGAGAATGTAGCGGAAGAGAGAACACAGACGGAGAAGAAAACCCCTATTTCTGACTTTCAAATGACTTCTCGGCTTGAGAATTGATGGAGGAGAACACCGTGAGTGTTTTGTGTATCGAGGACGGAATATCGAGCAACGTCGTTCTTGGGTTTTCTGAGATCACCTGAGAGAGAACTGGAGAAGTAAGGCAAAGAGCAAAGAAGAAGAAGTAGAGAATATAAGAAAGATTCGCCATTGCTCAGGTAAGAAGTTAGATGTCTACCAGAAGCGACGGTAATAATGTGAAGGAGAATGAGGTATGTTGAAAAGACGAAATTACCCCCCTCAAATGGGGCATCTAACAGGAAGATTGACGAAGGACCAAAATTGTCCTCGTCACAATAAGAGTGTCCACAAATTGTCTGATTTTGTTAAGGAGGACTAAAATTGTCTGTGCCACTATAAGTCTAGGACTAAAAATGTCTTTTACTCTTATTATTATTATTATTATTTTTTTTTTTTTTTTTTGCATAAATTAGTTCATCTAACAATGTTTATGGTTTGATACTCGTAAAAGTTCTTGCCATAGATAAGCCAATTACTAGTCACAAAATTATTTTCATATAGTGAGAGGCCCTCAAGCATAAGATCATCAACAAAAAGTTTCACTACATACACATATTTAAAACAAAGTGAAATGACTTTTGAAAGTATGCAACGATTAATAGATCAACACATACTCAATAAAGACGCAATCTCTCCCATGTAAGGTGGAAACATGTAATAAAAATGAAGGTGCATTTCATTAGCTTCTTTTTGTGTGACAAAACTTTACAAGTTATCAATGTCATACAATGGACAACTATCCTCCATAATAAAAAATGCCTCATCATCATAATCAAGAAATTCAAATTTTCAAATAGGTCCATTGTTGGACTACTATCCTCCATAACCGGACATGCCTCATCATAAAGAAACTCAAATTTTCAAATAGGTCCATTGTGCTACATGACAATTTTGTTGATTACGTAAAAACTGCCACACGTAACCATCATAGTCGTAAGTGTAGTCAAAGAAGAAATATTGTCAAGAATCTTACCAAAAGTTCATTGATTATATTATCTCTCTCTCCTACATAATCCAGATAACTTTAAATATGTGAATTAAAGAGTAGATAAATTAAAACTAAAAAAAATAATTAAAAAAAATAAAAAATTAAACGGGTGATTATGGTAATCAAAAAGTAGAAATAAGAACAATAATTCAAAATTCGGATTGAAATTATATTACTTAAATACTAAATTTCTAAAATATCAATTCAAAATGAATAAATGATCGAGTAGCAAGTTAGCATTCAAATTGTATAAACCCTATCGTTCAAGTTCAATCCAATTATGTAAATCTTTCAACTTTTTTGCATTTTCACAAAAATTAAAGTATTTTAAGTGTGAATCTACCAAATGATTCAATCTTGAATGTATTAAGCATTTTCAAATATTGAGTAATGATGTAACAATCCAGATCCTCCAAAATTCTTGAAGCAACTTGTATGTCATGAAAAGAACATGCATGCATATCTACATCACAGCAAGAAATGAAAAAGTGCAATATATGACTGCCAAATATACTCTATATATAGGTTTCGCTTCTTACCACATCTATACTATATATAAAAACAAAATCCTGAACTTTTAACGTCCCGCCCAATTCCTAAAAAATCCCTCTTCCTAATAAAATATATTGATTTCTACGTTCTCATTCGTACAATAATTCTGTGTTAAAATTATATTCTAATATTATAAAATAGTGTAATACAATTCCTATTGTAATCTATATCTATACTATATATAAAAACAAAATCCAGAACTTTTAACTTCCCGCCCAATTCCTAAAAAATCTCTCTTCCTAATAAAATATATTGATTTCTACTTTCTCATTCGTACAATAATTCTGGGTTAAAATTCTATTCTAATATTATAAAATAGTGTAATACAATTTCTATTGTAATCGATATCTATTCTATACTATATATAAAAACAAAATCTTGAACTTTTAACTTCTCGCCCAATTCCTAAAAAATCTCTCTTCCTAATAAAATATATCGATTTCTACAATAATTTTGTGTTAAAATATATCAATTTCTATAATAATTCTATGTTAAAATTCTATTCTAATATTATAAAATTGTGTAATACTATTCATATTCTAATCTATATCTATACTATATATCAGTGTTGCAAAAATCGCGGCGCTCGCCGCGTCGAGGAAGGTCGGAATCGGCCTCCTCCGCGGCCGCCTCGCCGGCTGAATCGGTGATCAATTTTTTTTTTTTTTTTTTTTTTTTTTTTTTTTTTTTTTTTAAGTTGTAAAGTGTCAAAAGTTCGGCAAGGTATAACTTTTGACTCGGTTGTCCGTTTTGGACAAATGTTTTTTTGAAATCGCGTATTTTTTCGAGATCTATCCACCGCAAACTGCCGTAGGCGGTTTGGCCCACCAATTTCTAAAAAAAAATACTTTATTAAATAGTTTCTAAGAAAAAACTATGAGAACGT